GAAAGGAGGAGGGGAGAACCTGGCCCCTGATAAGCCTCTCATTCCAGCCCCACCCGTTCCCAGCAGTCAGAGCTGGGCTCCAGCTGGATGGACAGATGGATAGATTATCAAGCTGGGTGGACAGATGGACAGATGAGCAGCAGTCTGTCCTCTCCGGGGTTCCTCTTACCGATGGTTTCTGTCTCCCAGACTGAAACAGAGAAAGGGAGAGAACGCAGAGGTGAGCAAGGGCTGAAGTGGGGTCTGCTCTCACTGGGCCCCAATTCCTCCCCCTCCTCTTCCCCACCTCACCCCCAAACGCTGGAGCGAGGGTCTGCTGGGGCCCAGAGCCATGAGGACTAACAAGCTGGGGCCAGCCAGACACTGGAGACATCTACCTCTCCCTCAGGAACAGGACACAGTTAGAGAAATGAGCAGAGGCGCCTGAGAACAGAGCGTTCTCCTGTCGCTCCACAGCCTGCAAAGCAGCAACCACCCTGATGAGAACGCCAGGGGCAGCCCTGGGAACCCAGAGCTAACCCAGAGCTAACAAGAGAAATGCCATTCGCAACTTTCCAAGTGCTTGTAGCAAATCTCACTAATTCAGCTGTGCGAATGGAGATGCTAAAGGGCCTGCCTTAATGAGCTGTTATGAGTCAGGTGTAAATAACACACTCAATGGTGCCACTGCCAGGGGGAGGGGTGGCGTCTGAAGGAAAGTTTATCTCAAGAAGATCTTATTTTGTTGCTGATTCCTTTTGCCTTATTTTTATTGTTGGAAAGAAGCAGTCTTGCCATGGTGCCTGACCCAGAGGAGATGTTCAGTAAACTTTAAGTGGATGAATGGATGACAGGAGTCCGCGAACGGAGGATGGGATTAACCTGGCTTCTATAGGAAGGGATTAGATTAGAGATTGGGCTGCATCTCGGGGCTGCCACACGCCTGACGTCCCACCACTCACACTGCACTCACTTCCCTCCTCCGTCTCAGCTTCCAAAGTTCACCACCTGTCCCGTTCTAGACAGCACGTGGTCACGCCCAGGCCCGAGGTGTCAGGATGGGAGAGTTTGTCTGCCACCCTCTTTCTGGGCTGGCAGGAGGTCTGAAGGTAGGGGGTGTGGCTAACAGGCCCCAGAAGGGGAGGCAGGGGAAGGGAGAGGCAAGGTGGGGGGCACTGCAGCTACATCCTGCCTTCTCTGGTCGTAGGATGGAACCCTGAGACAGAGGCCTGGCACCCCAACATGCCTGGATGTTGCAGGCACCTGCCATCCAGGCAGAGTCAAGGTTGGCAGGATTCCAGGAAAATCAGAATTTGCTTCTATCTCAGGGAGGACAGGGGCTGTCCTCTGTAGTGGCCTGGGGTCTGGGAACTCCCTACTTCTAGGACATCGGCCAAAGCCTCAGGTGAAGGAGGAAGCGACCTGTGCGTGACCATTCTTCTCCGGGTCACAGCGATCTGGCCAGACACCAGCCTTCTTTGGGAGCCCACAAGGCCTCAAGGGAAGGCAGAAACAATCTCACACCCAAAGGAGAGATGCCATCTCAGACGCTCCCCACAGAGATGTGGTCACCACAGCCTGGGGCCTGCAGATAGCCCGCTGCCTTCTCTCCCCGCCCACCTCGCCTCCCTATATCCTGAGTCACAAAGCCCATCACTGCCCACCCCAAGGTCTCCCACATCGGCTGGGGCCCCTGAGTAACTCCAGGGCACTGCAGTAGCCCCCCCACACACACCTCAACAGACACGCCCCAGGCTGAGCTCCTTATGACACTGCACCCACCCAGCCTCTCCTCACTGGGTGGGAGGCAGCCATCAGACACGGGTCACCCAAGCCAGCATCTGCATGTCACACAGTTCCCGTGTGCCCAGCGTCCTCTCCCAGGCAGCCCAGGGGCTCCTGGGGGACAGGACCCCAGCTCCTCCCCTCCTGAGCCCGCATCACTGCCCAAGGTCAGGGAGGACCAAGAACACACTTCGCTCAATGCGCACGAGTGCGCCTGCGTGACGGTGAGGTCGGCCCTGTGCCTGAATCTGAGTGGTGTGTGAATGTGGACGCCAGCAAGTGTGGCCGTGGGGGAGCATCCTGTGTCCACTGCCTGAGGGTGTCTCCCTGTGTGTCTGTGTGTGTCTCTCTGGGCCCCTCAGGGTCTCCAGATGAGTGGTGATGGCAATAACATCAGTTAACAATAACCACTGAGTATCAAAACATGCCCAGTCCTGCACTAAGTGACTCTCCCATGTATCATTCGAGTCCCCAGTGACCCACCACATTCCTATTTGACAGACTAGGGGACACAGGGGTGAGGGCCTTGCCCAAGGCCTGCAGCAGGGGTGAGTGATGGAGGCCGTGCGTGAAAGCCCAGCTGTGCCCCACCCGTGATGTCACACCCCCCACATGGACTGGGCAGCCATGCCTGAGGGAAGCCTGTGTGTCCCTGTGTAGAGGTGGTGTGTGGCCCCATCCCCGCATCCCTGGGAACAGCTATCAGCCTGTAGGGCAGCCGTGTCCTTGGTGCTCGTGTCCCAGGGAGGTCTGGGGCCCCTGCGGGGAGCGGGCGGGGCTGAGTGTGGCCTGAAGAGGCGCGGGCGAAACCCACCTTGGTCTGGATCGAAGATCTGGAAGAACTTGGGGCAGCTGACCAGGACTATCTCACCCACGCGGGCGGGCTTCCAGCACGTGATGTTGTCCCACATCCCAGGGCAGCCTGTGGGGAAGAGAGCATGTGAGCCAGGCCCTGGCAGCGGGCACCTCAGTGGGCTGGTTCCCTCAGCTCCCTGGACGGCCCCTAGGCCCAGCATCATGGGTGTGGGGGGAGGCGATGGGATGGGAGTCCACCAGGAAAAGGATGGGGCGGGCACCCTGTGGACTTTGTTTACTCAGGGGGGAGGGGGAAGAGGAAGTGCCCGTAATGACCATGACCGATCAGGACAGAGAGACAGAGGGGGGGGGGCAGTGACAGCAGAGCATGGAGAGTCGGGAGAGGGTCCGCATGCTGCAGAGGGGTCCACACACACTGGTGCAGAGAGGGCCTCTCTGCCAGGTAAGGTACAGCCAGTGGAACTGACCTCCCACCCCCTCCACCCCCTCACCTTTCACCCTCACCACCCCCCACTCCCAACCCCCGGGGCTGCTGGGAAGAGTAATGAGTTCACACTCATTACCCAGCAGAGCGCCAAGCTCACTCCTCGCACGCCCCCTACTGTTATCATCAATAACTTCACGTCAATTAGGTGTCCCTGGAATCATTCCCTGGAGAGAGGCCTGCAAGGGGAGAAGGCCAGTGGAGGGCCGCCGACAGGTTACGGAGGCAGCCTGGGCAGAGAGGGGCCTGGGCCGGCCTCATGAGCTGTTGGGTGCTGTGTGGACCAGAAGTGGTCTGTCTCTTAGAATTGACACCTGGCTATTTTGGAATTCATCCCCCATCACAGTAACGTATAGCATCCTACTCCTGGAATGACCAAGTCTGGGAGCAGGAAACACCATCGAAAGCTCTGAGGGCCCTGGCTGGTGTGGCTCAGTTGGTTGGGCATTCTCTCAGGCACCAGAGGGTCACCAGTTTGATTCCCAGTCAAGGCATACGCCCGGGTTGCAGGGTTTCTGGCTCAGTCCCTGGTAGGGAACATACAGGAGGCAGCTGATCGACGTCTCACTCTCACATGATGTTTCTCTCTCTCTCTCTCTCTCTCTCTCTCTCCCTCCCTCTTCCTTCCTCCCTCTCTAAAATCAATAAAAGCATATTTTTTAAAGCTTTCCCTAAGAAAGAAAGACAGCTCTGAGAACCACAAACCAGGATGGCAAGGTCACTGGGGGCCACATGCGAGGAACCGTGTCCCAGGTCTCACAGCAGCAGGCCAGCCACTGATGGTTCCCACTGCCCACCCCAGCAGGGCTCCAGCCGCACACGCCTGGTTGTGACATCCGGTACTTGAAAGGGGACCCAGCAGCTCAGTGTGGGCTGCAGGGCCCCTGCTGGCCGGGAACAGTCACGGAGTACGGTCACGTCAAACGTCCAGCCCACGTCCCAGGTGCCCCGTTAACAGATGTTCCCTTATCGTGGAACAGCGGGCCCTGGCACAGCCAGCTGCCACTGCCAGCTGATGCTCCTGAGGCCCTGGGGCACTTCAGACGGAGGCGAGCAGTCACAAGGACGGCAGGGCGGTGAGGGGCACAGGGCTCAGGTGAGGACAGCACAAGGAAGAAGGGGCTCACAGGGTGGGGGTCCCAGGCCTGGAGGCAGCGCAGGCGATTCATTCTCTTAGCTATTTTCTGAGCTCCTGCCATGTGCCAGGGCTACAGAGGTGGAGAAAACATTTGGGAAGTTTGCATCTGAGGACCGAGAGTGGGAAAGGGCAGGTGTCCCTCAGCTCTGCACGTCAGCCACGAGACTGGAGTTCTGCCTACTGCAGCCCAGGGCTCATTGCATGTAACGTATAGGATCCTACTCCTGAGTCATAGGGCTCATTGCATGTAACGTATAGCATCCACCCTGACTCAGTTTCCCTGTGTGCACACTGAGGGCTGGGTCTCTCTGAGGGTATTCCCAACTCTGAGCGACTAGAGCTCCAATCAGGAACAGAGATTTCACTCGAGATCTGCCAATGCCCAGAAGCTGGGGCGCCTCTCTGGCCCCACTGCCAGGACAAGTGTCTCCCAAGGCACACCTGCCAAGATTTCCAACAGGCAGTGAGATGAAGGTCTGGAGTGCAGGGGGGGGAGTCGGAAATGGAGGAAGAAGAGGGGGTGGTCCGCACAGGGATGCTGGGTGGGGCCATGGACCTGGCTGCTCTGTCTCATGAGAAGGCCTAGATTTGAGAAGAAGAAGAGAGAAGAACGCCTGGCCCCAACCAAAGAAGGCATGCCAACAGCAGAAGAGCAGCTGGCAGAGAAGACTGAGGAGGGGAGGCCAGAGGCAGGAGAAAACCAGGAGAGGTTAGTGACAGCAGCCAGGAACGCGTGCTTCCAGGCGGCGACGGTCCAGGGCATCAGCCACCGCTGAGAGGCTGAGAACGTTCCCTCCTCTCCTCGCCCCTGCAGAGCAGGTCGGGAATTGGAACTGCTCAGGGCCCTGGAGGACTCTCCATGGGGACACCCCACCTCCCTATTCCTCTCCTGCTGTAGCCCAACTCTACACTGTGCCCTCCTGGCTCTGCCGCTTTCCCTCGCCCCCAAGCCTCTATGGAACTTTGTCAGAGGAATTCAGGCGGGAAGGGGGGTGGGGAGGGATGCTTGTGTGGTGGGAAAGGTCCCATCTCCCGGGCTGCTCCCACTAAGCCACCCACACAAAGCAGCAAGGAGGGGCAGCGCCTCGTGACAACAGCGGGAGGAAAGACCACTCGGGCAGGCGGAACAGAGAGGACGTGGGAGCCATTAGCCTCAATTGGAACAGAATGAGGCGCTCGTCTCGGGTTGTCATGGTGACGATCCTGTCCAGTTCCACAGTGTGTTCAAAGCCGCGAGAGCAGAGGCACCGCAGGGACTCAGACGAGGCACAGTTGTCCCTTTGAGAAGCCGCCGAGGATGCACGCGTATACTAAGCCCCGTTTTAGCATACAGTTCGAGGGTAAAGCACGATGTCCATTTACTGAAAGTTATTTTTCCCCTCGCGCTCAGTGGCTCTCAAAGTGTGGACCCCAGACCAGGAACTCCACTGGGAACTCACCAGAAATGCAGATGCCCAGGCCCTCGAGACCCACTGAGTCAGAAACTCTGGTGCTAGGCCTACCCATCTGTGTTTTAACAAGTGTTCCAGAAGATTCTGATGCAGGCTCAAGTCAGATTTGGGGAGCGAGGGGTCCCTGCAGACCCCATTCCTCCCCCATGCTGGGCGCCTGTTTAGTCTCACAGCAGCTGGGAGGTGCAGGCAAGAGGCTGATTCTGCTCCCCGGATGGGAGCCTGGGCCCAGCCCTGCAGTGGTTCCCTCCTCCAGGCCTCTCCTCTTCTGGTGGGGGCGGGGGGAGTGGCCGGGGCCAGGCACTGTGCACCCCGGACGGGCCTCAGAGGCTGGGTCAGAAGAGCAATGAGAGGCTTTCGTCTTCTGTACAAGTGTCCTTCCTCTGCCCCTGCCAGGGCCGCTGCATCTCCATCTCCTCCAGAGTCTGGGGGCCCCCGAGGACCACACCCGACCGGCCCTGCTGAAATGCAGGCCAGGCCTCCAGGCTGACGGAAGCCTGCAACCCTGCAAAGGGGAGGCTCTGGCCGGACTCACACGGGACAGCCAGGCTGCCTGGGCGGAGCAGAGAGCAAACAGGCCCGCCCAGCAGGCAGGGCCTGTGACCTGCATGGGTCTGGGACCCTCAGGAGTGGAGAGTCAGGTTCCCACGCCCCGGGGCCCTTTTTCCTTCTCTCTGGCATAGGCACCGCAGCACAAAGGCCACCCCTGGCCAGGGCCACAGACCTGGGGCCTGTCCCCGAGCTGGCTCGGACCCTCGGTGTAACTTGGCCAGGGACTCCCACCTCTGGCCTCAGCCTCTCTGCGTGTCACGTGACAGAGCTGGACTCCCTGTTGTCTTGAGTCCCACTTAGCATTCAGAGGTTTGGAATGAGGGACAAAAGCACTAAACACAACTCTTCAGTAACCCAATACACATCTTGAGAACGTGCCGAGGCTGACGCAGGCAGAAGCGCCAGGCAGAGGGCTTGCTTTCGCCCCCCACCACCTTGCTGATGCATCTCCTCCTTCACCTGCCGGCTCAGCTCCCATGCCTCCCCCAGCGTGACCCTGTCCCTCAGCTTCCCTCTGCAGGCCACAAGGCACATTACCACCTGGTGTTCTCTGCGGGGTGGAGGTCCTGGGAGGGACAAGGATTTAAGAGGTGCAGGGGCCTCCACGTCCTCATCTATAAGACAGGGGTAATAGGAGAGCCTACCTGCCAGGTTGCTGCAGTGGGAGAAAAGCACTAGTACAGTGCCTGGCACATGGAAAACCTATGTAAGTATTGGCTATTGATAAGGTTCGTCCCACCTGCTCGTTTTCGTAGTGGAGCTTCTGAGGCACAGAGCTCTTGCTGCCGTGGTGCCCCCACCGAGGATGTTCTCCCACTCACTCGCCCTCAGCTCTCACGTCAAGGGCCTACTGGTCCCTAGGGCCCAAGTAGGGGGTTCTCAGACCAGCTTCTCACCAGCGTCACCCCAGAGCCTTTAAAGTCACGGTGACTGTGGGGGACTGCGGCTCTGGTTTGGACTGTAGCGTGAGCACATTCTTCTAAAAGCTCCTGGAGATTCTGATGTGCAGCCAGGTTTGAGAACCACAGACCTACTATAAATACCATCTTGTCCATGAACCCTCCCAGAATTCCTCTGTTCCTCTCCTGAGCACACCTGGGGTGCAACCTCTCCCAGCACTGGCCTGCCCCCTCCTGGGAGGGTGTCCATCCTCGCCTCTGTCTCACGCTCACGTTGCCCCGGTGGGCTAGCCTGCTTGTCCTCCCCCAGCTGGGGCTCCACCAACATCTGTGCAATAGCCCTGCCTCCCACCTCTACCCTTTCCTCCTGGATGCTTCTTATGCCCCACCCCACATGCCCCTGACACCTGTGATGCAGGAACGGCGGCCCTGGGCTAGGAGACAGGACAGCTGGGCTCCAGGTCCACCTCATGGCCCCATTTCCCATCGCCTAGACCAGAGCCTTGGGCCAGATACCAGTTTGGTCTCCTGCAACTGGGCACCTGTTTGGGGCCCCTGCCTCAGTTTCCCTGGCTGGTGAGGCCTAGAATCCACTTCCAGCCTCAGTTAGGGCCGAGCCAGAGCTCGGCTGGAGGGCAAACGAGTCCAGCATGGCCGGAGCAGCTCTATTAGCAGTTAATGTTCACTGTCTGGCCAGGGAGCTTGGCCTGGAGGGACCGTTCCACATAACTGGGCTGCAGATTAATCGAGTATTTAAGCAGATGGTGCTCAGAAGAGCTCCCTATAAGCAGAGAGGATCCGGAGGGAGAGGTGGATCTTTCTCATCTGGGCAGAGAGCCCCACCCTCTAGCGACAGAGGTGTAAGTGAGGCTGGCCAGGCCTCCAGGGATGCCCCCACCCCCAAGTCCCCGGCTTCCCACACAGACCCTCTCTCTGGTTGCTAGGGGTCAGGAAGTCCAGAGTGCCTCTTCCCTGTGGGCCTCAGTGTCCTCTCTGCACAGCGAGAGAGTTAGGAGGAAGGGGTTACACAGGACCCCCGGTTCTAAGCCAGGGCCATGCCACTGCCTGGAACATCTGGAAATGCTACGAGCCATTCCGGGTTGTCACTGGGATCAAGGGAGCCATGGCATCTGATGGGGAAACAAGGGCTGCTAACTCTCCTCAGTGCGTGGCCACTCCCGCAGAGGAGGCAGCACCCCGCCCCAGGCTAAGAGCAGCTCAGGGAGGAGTGCTGCCCAGACAGGCCGAGGTGGGTTCCCGCTGCTGCCTTGTCTCTGGCTTCTGGTGGAGTGAGCAGAGGAGGCAGAAAGGGCCCCTGCTTGGGGTTGCCCACCTGCTCTCCAGCTCGGGCACCTGCAGCAGCTGTGTCCCTGCTGCTGCCAGGCCCAGGCCGCCTGCTAACGAGCTCTCTGGCAGCCAGACCCAGCTCTAGCCCAGCTCCCTGGGATCTAAGGTAGCCACACCCAGCCACTCAGAGCAGCCCTCCCACAGGGAGGCATCCAGGGCAGGCTGCCCCAATGAGCGTAACCCAGTGTCGCTGCCCAGGGCACATCCAGGACTCCACTGCCCCACAGGGCTCTCTGAAGGACCCAGAGTCCCAGCCCCTCCACCTTTCTTCCCAAGGTGGCCGCAGGCTGGGGCACCAGTGCTAATGGCTATGGACGTGCTGGGATGCCATGTCCTCCCCGCCAGCCTACTCACCATGGGAGGAGGCGTTCAAGCCCATCAGCTCGTTGGCCTTCCGGATCTTCTCCAGGCACAGGGCCTGCTCCTGCTTGAACATGCAGTCGGAGTGCATGGCGGCCACCTGCAGGGCACAGGAGGGATGGTGGGAAGAGCAGCAGGTCACTATAAGCCCTGGGGCTGGGGGGGAGGGGCAGAGCAGGATGGGGATAATGACAGAAACGTCAGGGCCAGCAGGGACCCTGACATCCACTCTGTCACAGACACCATGAGGTTCCTCTTTACCAGCTCAAAGTGTGGCCTTGGGTAGATCCTACCCTGACCCTGGGCCTCAGTTTCCAAGTCTTATAAAAGCAGCAGCAAACACATATATAGCACTCTATGACCTTTTGCACTGTTCTGTCATATACTATATGTGTATACACATATATCCAGAGGACTACAAGGTAGGTAGTATTTTTGCCATTTTTCATTTTACACATGTGAAACTTAAGCCCAGAGATGTTAAGTAACTTGCTCAAAGCCACACAGCGTAGTAGACTATACAGCCAGGATTCGGCCCCAGACAGTGTAGCCCCGGAAGCCACAAGGCTACTGCTACACTTTAGGGGAGCCAGCAGGGGCTGGGGGAGTGGAGGGGCTGATCGCTCATTGTCTCTCTCCTCTAGGGGCTGGGGAAGGAGGTGCAGGTGAGGAAGCAGTGGCAGCATTCAGTGGGCCTATGAACCACTCCCATTTGCTCTTGCCCCATTTTACAGAAGAGGAAACTGAGGCTCAGAGAAGTTAAGAAAACTCCTGCCCAAGGTCCCACAGCTGGTTAGTGGCAGATGCTGGATTCAAGCGCAGGAGAAGTAACCTCAAAGCCCTGGCATTGCTGTCGCCACTAACTCAAAATTCAGGGGCAGAAGCAGTTCTGTAGGGGGATATCGGGAGCACGGAGGCAGGCACATGCAGGACTCCCATCCTCGGTCTAGCCCCGACTGTTCACAGAGGTGCAGACAGCTTCCAGGGCGGGGGACAGGCTGTCTGTGGCCACACGGTGAGGCAGGGGGTCAAAGAGCCGCCGGCAGCCCGGCCCG